TTTGTCATTATTGAAAGTTATAGTCTAATTCCCCTCTCTTTACCTTTTATTATCTCAGTCTCTCCCAACCCTATATCATTAGAATGAATCAAAGTGAAAACTCACTTACCGATTCGCCATAATAATATAATATTAAATCAAGTAAAAATTTTATTACTTGATTATTAAATCTAGAGAATTAAATAATAAATCTTATATTTAATTTTATTATTGAATATCAAAATATTAAGCTTCAAATAAATTATTATATAATTTTAATTATATATTACTTTATTAAAATTTTAATTTTTTAAAACTAATTAATAGAAATTATATAAAATTTATTATTTGATTTATCAAAATTTAAAAAATTAAATAATAAAATTATATTTAATTTCTATTATTAAATCTTGAAATATTAAGTTTCAAGTAGTTTATATATAAAATTTTATTTACTAATTTTATATATAGCTTATTAAAGCTTAATAACTTAATATTTAGTAATATACCTTAAGTATAAAGCTTATTATTTAATTAATTAGAATCAGAATTAATTTTTAAATAATTTTAAATAGTTTAAATAAAAATTTATTAATAATTTAATTATATAAATATTAAATAAACATATTTAAACTGGTTTAGAAGTTAATTTTAATTAGTATATATATTAGGAATTTAAAATATAAATAATTTTACAAGATCTTTATATCTAATAAAAAATAATAAAAAATAATTTTAAAAAATATAAATATCTTTATATTTAATAAATTAAATTTAATAATTTTGATATTATTAAAAAGATATAATCAAGATATATCTAAGAATATTAAAATTATTAAATTTAATTTACTAGATATAGAGATATTATATATTATTCTCAGAAAAATAGTCAGTTAATCAAAATAATATTTTATTTATTTGATATAAATATAATATTTAATATTTAGTAGATTATTTTTGACTCTAATACATATTTTAATTCTATATGACATACTTTCTATAAGTTTAATATAGATTTCAGATAGAATTTTTCTTGCAATATTTCTTCAAGTTCACAAAAATTTCTTGGATATATAGTATATTTACTATATTTTCATTTGAATTTATATTATAAATACTCTTTAAAGTTTTTAAAAGATGAGCAATAACTTCATATATTCTTCTAGCTATTTATAAATTAATTATTTTTTCAAATTTAAACTTATTTAATTTGTAACTTTTTCTTATATCAAATAGTATAGTTTTAAAAAAAGAGAAATATTTATATTTTTATTTATTAAAGCTAATCTATATCTTATTATATAAATATAAATATATATACTTAATTATCAGAACTAGAAGATTTATTTAAAAAAAATTGACTAGTTTATATATTTAATTTTGAGTAATTTAGAAAAAGCTTGATCAGATACTTATTAAAGAGTAGTATATCTCAAAAATCATATTCAAATTATATAAAATTTCTTTGAAATTCTATTTAATAGACTAATTAAATGATTTTAATATTATTAAAAAGCTCTATTTTTATAAATTTACTAGATTTTATTGTATTTCTTTTGATTATTACTTATATTTTGTTAATAATCAAATTCAAATATTTCAAAATTATAATTGATATTACTAATTATTTTGTATCTTTTAAATAAATTTTATTATTTTTAACTCAAAATATTACTTATACTTGCTATTTTAAATTGATTATCAAATTTTTTAAATTAATTATTATTTTAATAGTCTTGTTTTAATTTCTATTTATTAATTTATAATAATAATTGTAATATAACTAATTGTAATAAATATATAATATATTATTAACAGTATTTTCTTTTTCCAATTTATATTTAACTTTTAAAATTATATGCTTGTAATATTTCTAACTATTATACTTGTTTTTTGAATAAATTCAAATTGTGTTTTATTATATATGAGCAACATATAACTAATAAATTATTATTCTTTCAAGTAAGATCTTTAAATCAAATAATATAAATAATAATTAATAAAGCTTTTTCATATATTGGATAGCTTTGTTCATGCTGTTATTAGTTTTGTGATTCATATACTATAAATTGATCACTTTTTTCATGATTTAATTGAGAACAGCACCAATTATAAATTCAGGCGTATCAGTAGTGATAGTGAAAAATGGCTTGGATCTGATAGAAAAAGTACAAATGTAATAATGTGTTATTTTAATATATCGAAATATGAATCATTCCTTTAATAAACTTGTTTATGAATAGTAATATAAGAAATGAAGCAATAGCAAAGAAGTCTTAAATAAATCTTTAATAGAAACTTATCAGTTCAAGAAATAAGCATAATTTTAAAGATATTAATAAGTACGAACCAGTCTCTAATTGCAATAATTTTACATTAATATTTTCTTCAGAAATGAACCGAATTTTAGCAACGTTAATAAAGTCCGATCATTAACCTCTAATACTAATAGCTCCGTAAAATATTAAAGGATCCAAAAATTAAAGCCAATAAATTCAAAATTCTTTATTATATCAATCATTTAAATTTTGGTTGCTTTAAATTTATAAGACTAGTAGACTTTAGAAATATGTCAACTTATTTGATGAATACAGATGCAATGCAATATATAAAAATGTGTCTAATGACAATGAAATTTCATTTACGTATAACGATAACGAACTTTAAACATGGAGTTCGATAGCCCAATCTCCATGTTATTAGTTTACTATCTAAACTTTTATGTTATTCGTACGTTCGCTTGCCTAGTAAGTCTTGTATTATGATAAATTAAATGTGTTTACTACGTGTATTGTTATTTTTGAAATAAAGAATACACAATACACGTACGTATCTAGCTTTAACCATGTATGCTATCAATATTTATCGTAATCGTATTTAGATCCCAATTTTTATCAAATACGATCCGTTGATGAAAATGTTTTAACGTTACATTACATGTAATTTCTTGACATACGTTCATATAAAAACCCTTTTCTGATATCGAAATGGCACAAATGGCGTATCGTGTACATGTATGTTTTGTGTGTTTCACGTATATACATGTGATTGAAATTCAACAATAGCATGCACAAAACAAATACATATACATTACTGCTGTGTATCCAGAGATAACATCTTGGAAAATATCTTACAATAAATAATTGGATACGTCCCGAAGATGTTAAAATTTACTGTATGGTTTGACCGTACATTCAACGATACATGTGTTTAAGTCCCAAGCCAAAAGTTGTACTATAAGGAGTTATGCATTTGAAGGAGAGGAGTATGACTGACTGTACAATGACGAATGTTCTTGCTTATGAACATTCTTTATAAAAATTTGAGTATCCAAATAAATAATACTGTATATTCAAAGAAACCGAAGTTATTTGTACAATTACATGAATAATTATAATCACATGACTCAATAAATAGTTGAATTACAATAAAATTTCTATCAATATCTAAGGGAATCCCCCCTCCCCCCCAAAATATACATGACTATAATGTATTGATATAATATACATAAGATACCCCTTCCCCTCCTTCCCCCCCAGGATATTACGTAATATATGTCAGTTCCCTAATGATTTAGTTTTAGTTTATATCACAATCAAATTGTCTGCGTGTTGCGAGGCCAACTCTTGGTTTAACTTTTGTACGGTCGAAAACTGTATAGACATTTCTAAATCCAATAAAGCAACAAAATTAATGCGTGTTCCGGAATCGCTACTACAAAATTTGATTGACTTACTTTATAAATATGCCACCCAAAATCCAATAAGTCCCCGGTTGGACTTGAATCCCACCACCAGCATAATTCGTACCATTGACTGGATCCCATATAATATCAGCAACCGGAATACCAAATTTCCGACCGGAAAACACGAAATAAATAACTAAACACGGATCGGTGTTAATAGGTAATAACCATCCACCATAATCTGAATCAAAGTATGATCCAGGAATTTGTGAATAGACTGCAGAGGCAACGTCACTTGGCAGTGTTATTATCGAGCCGCCTGTGTCAATAATAGCTTTTCCTGACATATTTAATGGAGCATTGTTGCCTACTTGTATATCATTAGCCATCACTACCCAATAGGAGGATGGTTGAATGGCTTTTAAATACAAAATATCACCAGTAAAATATGCGTGATTTATTCCTCCAAAACGAATTTCTCCACCATTTAGTTCACCACCGCATGCATCTTTAACATAAGCTACCGAGAATAAATTCTTCTTTAGCAGATGTCTATCAATCATATTATCAAACAATGGTTTAATTCCTTTGACAGCGGTATTGGACTTGAATCCAAGACCAACCAAACCATCAATTATATCCATCACATAAAGTGTATTAGCTTCGTTTGCGATACCAAATATTTGTCCAGGAACACGAACTGCACCGACTAACGTTACATCCCGCGCCAAAACGCCACCGACCATTCCGTTATCACCATAAGTTATGTTCCAAGCACGACCGTCGTTTTTATATGTGCATGATTTGTTGGGTTCATATACGTGGTGTGGGTAGGAATCCAAGTTTGCACCTGGTCCAAAGACCCAAAAAGTTGATGATCCAGTGTCGAATGCAACATTAAATACTTGTGCTAATTGAAAGAATAATTAATTTCTTCTATGATTTTTATATGCATTAATAAATTGCAATTTTACTTACGAGGCGTGCCGATATATATCTCACCATACCACTTTTACAAATAAAAAATTAAATTTAAAAATTATTATTAATTCATTAAAATATGATTCTATATTAAAAATTACCTCTGAATCATTTTGATAATTAACTAAGGGAACTGTTCCAACTTTTGCTTTACTTTTAGTGATAGCGAGAGGAACAGGAGGAGCAGGAGGAGCAGGAGGAGTGGGAGGAGTGAGAGAAGCAGTGAATTGTGTTGTTGTATTAGATTGCGGCTGCTCTAACGATTGGTATTTCGCAATAGCTCGAGCAGCCTGTTCACGTGCTATTCGCTTGAAATTTGGGTGCGTTTTGAGTGGCACTTAATTATTTAATTGTGAGAAAATTTAATTGTTAATATTATTGGATTAATTCCTTATCAAAAACTAAATTCAAAAATTTAAATTACTTGTAAGAACTACGGGAGTTGTCGTAGTCGTCCTAAACAAAATCAACAAAATAGAGATGATCATACAACAGGATAATTTATAATTCCTTGTCCACATATTTTTTCGTCTTTGATAGTTTTGATGATTCTCATTATCCATTTTCTCACCCTTCGTTTTTATTCTTTAATTGACTTTTCGCCATCCTTTAAAGTCCAAGACTTAATAGTTCTTCTGCTTTGTGAAAAAAAAACGCCAAACTGAAAAAGGCAAAAAACATACTATCGCACACGTACATATAAAATGGAGTGATTGATATAAGCATAATTACGATTGGTATGCGTTGTATTGGGGGTTTAAAATAGGATTACATTACATCACTATCATTCTGGTTCGTTGACGTGAAGAAACCGAAATATAAGCAATGAAAAACCGTTAATTAATAGAGGCCGAATTAATGCGGGGAAAATAAATGGACTTTAATACCTTTAATAATTCAACAATTCTAATAGATGTAAATTTCTTTTACATTTAATTATAAATTCGCGCGCGCGTATAATTGGGCCCTTTATCGGAACAAACTGATACATGTATTGGCTTGCATAAAAATAAGGAACACATTCATTTTTATTGGTCAAGTATTTCAACCAATAAAGAATGAATGTAGATCAGTTATGGAAGACAAAAAAATTAGCCCATTATGCTCACCAAACAAAATGAAAGGTGGATTTCCTTTTTTTTAATAATACCGATTGAAACGATAAACTGTATACGTACATGCATTTTATCAATAGATTATGCGTTGTACGTATATAAAAATTCGGATGCACGTTTTGATTACACCAAAAGTTACACTATGGATATACTTTTATGTGCTTGCATCGTATCCGAATTTTGAAACACACCGATTCTATGGCAGCCCATATTGCTAGAATTGCTTCTTTGTAATGATCTTTACCCACTTTTAGTTAATATTCAATAAACGTTTCCTTCTAGAATTTCAAATGCAATAGCAATACGTTCAGTTTCTTGTGTATTCTGTCCGAGCATCGAAAAATAACCTCAATGCAAAACGTCATGATCTCCTCACAATACAACAATCCCTGCTTAGTATGACATCATCAGGACATTCAGAATAACGAATGTCATAATACTGAACAGACCATTGTTATTTCAGTTACTCCATTCAAAACGCCATTAGCATAGGGCCACTCGTGTTTGTTCTAACTTTGGATATGACGCAAATCACGCATTCCATTGAGGAAAAGTATGTGGCTCGAGCATTAAAGTTCTGAGCTTAGATAAATTCGTTTTATAAGAAAATGAACAGATGAACGGTAATGTACTTAAAACGGACTACAATATGAAATATCGAGTTTGGAAATAGCATTTTTTACCCCGGCAATTCACACCATAGAACTTAACCAATCCCAATTCAGTCTGTGATTACTAACTTCAAATGCTCGTAAAAGCCGAAACGCATGTCATAATAAATGGCATGATAATGCATGGTTCTTAATTTATGTTAAAAAAAGGTTATCATTGTCTGAAAGAAATGTTTCGTCATATTAATGTGAATAAATGTAGCATAGTAACCAATGACACATTAAAGTATCTCATGCTATAACTGATGTAATGTGGCTGTGTATATTTAACCGAGAGGACCGTTCTTACTGACAATTGTTTTTTTAATGTTATTTGGTGATAATTTTCTTCCATATTATGACCCACAAATCGATTTAGCCTGGTCAAATTTGGTAATATTTGATTAATAAGCCCCTTATGATACTCTCATACAAACCATTGTTACCATTAACATTAAAGTTTCCTTAATTGCGTTCGAAACTCCGAGGTGACCTGCAAGTGATCGACTTGTGTCACCTTGCCACACATCTCGTCTTGAGGTACCAGAAAAATAGTAAAAATATACATGTAAATATATATAAATATATAAAAATAGAACTTACCAAAACACAATAGCCCCAAAATAGCATCTCAAAATACATACTTCGAAACTTTCCTTATTTTATCCATTATTAATTATATAGAACTTTAGTCTTTTTTAGTAATAATTAACACAACGATAATAAAAAAATTTATTAATAGTTGGCTTAGACATTATTTAGTATAATATTTTGTACATGTACAATGTTTGACACATTCTTTAGCATAATATTCATACAATGTTTAGTACACTATTTGGTACAATATTTCGACCATTCTGTAAATAGAGCATCCTTTATTATAATCCAAATCATGTATCCATCTAAAATGTATATATTGACGTCCTTGAGCCTTCAATCAAGACAAGTTATAATAAAGTACATTGAAACAGTATTAGGAAGTGCCATTTATCAAGCCATTAAATCCCACTATAAGCTAGCCCCTCTCCCTTGTGATATTTAATCAATAACGTGATCATTAGAATTTATTATAACATAATAGGTGGTTGACCTCTCCTCCCCCCCCAAAAAATCACGCAATAAATGGCACTCCCCTTACCTCTTGCTTGTATTATTATTGAACTTCAGATTTTTCTGCTTTTATCAGAAGAAAGTCATTGATGCTTGTCTCCCTTTGTAAGATAGTCTAATCGTAAAGAAACTCTGTTCGATCATATATCTTGTAACTCTGAAAATTTGATCCGCAACTCTTAAAAAAGTTAGTCTATATTAAATAATCTCTTTTGTTAATCATGTAATCTCCCGCACCCTTCCAAGTTATTCTTTATAATAAAATAAACATATCTTTACCATCCAAGGTAATCATAATTACTGACACAATATCTTTAGAAATTTTTAGAGAAGTTCTTAAATATTAATAAACATCAGTCTAATCTCTCACAAATCTATTAATCTGTTCATCTTTGAAATTAAATAGACCAGAAGGTGTAATATACTTGGTATTCCTTTGTGAATTAAATTAAATTTATTACTAAAAAGAAAAGAGACTAACTTTCAAAGTGAACCTTTAGTCAAAACTACATATTCTTTATAATTAATACTGATTCTAATCATTAAATTCTTATAGATAAACTGTAAGAAATACAGTATTCAACAATTAATCCAAAAAATAAAGAACTTCTCATGAAAAATCTGAATTATCTCTTGAAAGTTCTCAAAACTTTAAATATTCAAATAATTATTAATATCAATCAATAACAAGAAAAACTAATAATTCAGATTTAAAAGTAATCAAAATCTAATTAAATGACTTATAACCATGAAATTATTATACAAATAATAAAATAACTAATATTTATAAATTTTAAATTATTTAGAGATATCTTAAAAATCTTGTTGTTATTTAATTTCATCAATAATATATTATTAATGATAAATAATTATCTTAAAATCTATATAATTTGACTATATAAAAAAAATAAAGATTTAATATTCATAAATGAATTAGTATAAGAAAGAAGAACTTTCAAAAATTATTAAACAGATAAAAAAAGTAAAAAAACAAAAAAATTAAATAAATTACTTTAATTTATTATTAATTTAAGTTCAGTTTATAAATACTATTATAAAGATTTTATAAATATTAATAAATAAAATAAAATACTTTAAAAACTAAATAATTTCTTCTTCTAATTAGAATTATAATTTATTTTGAATAATATATATATTATAAATATAAATAAAAAAATACTTATTCAAATTAAAATAAATTAAATATTTAAAAAATAAATTTATTTTTAATTTTAATTAATATAATAAAAAGTATTTAAATTAATCAGATATAATTTAATAATAATAATAATATTTATCAAATAATAATATTCTTTTATTCAAAATAGTATTTCTAACTAAATAATAAATCAAATTTTTTGATAAATTTAAGTTTGATTTATAGATTTGAAAAATTAAACTGAACTTGAATCAAATCTTTTATAAATTCAAGTTTAATTTAAATTTAATCAAATTATTAAAAGAATTTCAAATAAAATTCTAATTTGTATTTTAAATTAAAATTTTATATAATTATATATAGTAATAGTAAAAGTAATATAT